CAGTAATTTTTCAGATTCTGTATCAATTTTAAAATTAGTTTTTTTTCCACTTCAACCCTAAAATAGCTAGTGCTCCTTCAGCAAAGAGAAAAAGGAAATTGAATGAAGAAGAGCAAGTGTTTCAAGAAAAGTCGGAATTATGGTATACAATATTTTTGTATAATAGTGAATTAAAAGATACATTGTTTAATTTGCAACAACTCCATTGCCATGCCAAAAGAATGCAACCTGAAAAGACATTATGAAATGAACCATTTATAAATACGAAGGCCCAATGTGCGTTCCAAAAATTCAAGTAATTGAATGCTAACTTTATAAAAATTCAGAAACAGAATGTTGCTTCCATTACTACAAGTTATGAACTTAGCCAAATGGTGGCCATGACTTGGAAATCTTACAGTGAATGAGATTTCATAAAGCAATGACTTAGAACAACATTTGAAATTGTAAGTCCAGAGAAAGCACACTTATTCAAAGACATTTCATTAACCAGGAACACTGATGCTGAACAGATTGATGAAATGTCATGTGATTTGAAACAACAGTTGAAGTCTGTATCATAAAGGTTTGAACATTTTTCTATTGCTATTGATGAGATCATTAACATGACTGGAATAGCACACTTTGCAATCTTTATGAGGGTCTGTGACAGTGAATTTAATATTTATGAATAACTGATTGAACTGGTCCCCAAGAATTGACACTACAACAAACCAGGGCATCTTTGAGAGATTTGAGCAGGTTCTGCATGAGTATAGTTTTGATTTGAGTAAACTTGCATGCTTATCTACTGCAAGTATGGTTGGCAAACATAATGGTGTTGCTGCAAAGTTACCAAGAAAATTTGCATCCAGATTCATCATTTTCACTGTATTATTCATCAACAAAATTTGTGTTCAAAGATTTTAAAATTGGATCATGTGCTTAACTTGGCTGCAAAGACAGTGAATTATATCAGAGGCCGTGCTCTCAATCAGTGTCAGTTGTTGGAAGATATGGATAATCAGTTTACTGAAGTTCCATTCTACACAGAAGTCTGCTGGTTGTCATGGCACAAAGATTGTTGAGAGAAGAAGTTATTGTTTTTGGAGATGAAAGATCAAAACAAATGAAATAAAGGATGAAAGTTGGCTCCAAGACCTGGCTTTTGCTGTGGATATTACTGCACAATTAACTGGTCTTAATTTGAAAGTGCAAGGTAAAAACAAACTTATCAATCAGTTGTATGATGACATCAAGTGCTTCATTACAAAACTAAATTATGGAAGTCAGTTGTCAAATGAAAATTTAGTTCATTTTCTTACATGCAAAGAGCTGAAAAACACTGCCAATACTGAGACTGTACTTATCTTTGCTAAGTATGACAGTCACCTGGAATTGTCAAAGGAATATAAAAAAAAAAAAAAAAAAGGTTTAGTGATTTTTTTTTTTCTTTACTGAAAATCAGTTTGCATTATTCTCAGCACCATTCACCTTTGATGTTGCCAAGGCAGAAGAAGGCCTGCAGATGGAACTATTAGAAATGCAGTTGGATTCTACATTCAGAGCAAAGCATCTTGAAGTAGGAATACCTGGGTTCTTTCCATACCTTCCTGAAAAGTTTAAAAACTTCAAAAAGTTTGTCACAAACATTATGGCAATGTTTGGTTCTTCATGAAGTTAACAAAAACTCCTCAGAACAAGATTAACTTATCAACATTTGTCATCTCTGATCAAAGTCAGAACTGCACAGATATTCCAGCCAGATATACCAAAAATTGTCAGCAAAAAGAGGTGTCAAGCCTTAGAAGACAAAACTAAGACTGAATAGTGGCAAATAAATGTTCAACTTTGAACTTGTAATTTTTGTACAATGTATTTGTTACAAAAATGCAAGTATATGTTTAAAATTTTATTTTTTATCAAACTAATTCATTGCTTCATATACATGAATCCTGCTAAGACATTTGTATACATTGTGAATTTCTAAATTTAAGTAACAAAAATATTCTGCAATAAATTTTATCAGATGACTAATTACTTGTGATTGTCACATATGGCCCTCATGACAACACATATGTGACCAGGTGTCCCACAGTTTGACATGCCTGCATTACACCGCTCGTACATTCAAGCTTACAGCACTTGGCAGTCCCACTTGCCTCTCTTCACTGCTGTAAATTGCTAAGTGTGTTCAAGTATACCTTTGGTTGCTTGCATCATTTTTTTTTTCCTTTTTGCTTACAGATCACAACAGCTATTAGGGAGATGTGATTAAATGTTTAGAAAAAATTATTCAATATTATTATAGTTTAGGTAATAAACATTATAACATAGCATAAATGGCTATATTGTGGAAAAAGGAATTTTCAACAATATATGCATTTTTTACATATTTATGGTTATTTTGTAACAACATTTTTTGTACATGTAGTTATGGATAATATATTAATTACTAATTTTTTTTAATTAATAACTACTTATGCTCAGTTGTTGACATTAATAGCTATCTACTGATGTATTAAAATTTTGGAATAATGCAATAATAAAAAATTAAATTTCATCTGATAGATGTTGCAATCTGTTAACAACATTTACTTCTTGCTGCATAACAGATGTGTGTTTGAAACTAAATGCTTTCTTAATCATTTGCATGATGAATTCTGAAACTATGCATCAACTATATTTCTTGACTATTTTTTTTTTGTCTGTTGCATAATCACTTTTTGTGTTAAATATTAAATGCTTCCTTGTGAGGTTTCCATTCTTTTTTTTCAAAGCTATTTTCTTTTAAGTGCATGCAAACCAGAATGTTATTCTTTTTACTGTTTTCAGAAATGTGAAAATACTGCTTTCTACTTTTACAATGAAATTCTTGTGTCACTATTCATCATGCTAACCTGTTATTGATAAATATTGTCATGGTTTTCTTTATTGTAACTGTTCTCTTCAACTTTGTCTTGGTAAAGATTTTAATATTAATTACATATTCTTTACTACCTTATTAATCAGTAGTAATTTCACTTGATTCCTTGACTTCCATTAGTAAAATATTTATCATTACTTTAATATATACTCATTTCTCCTTTCCTGGCTTTCTACTTGTGTTCAGTTAAAGAGAAAGAATTTGTTTTTTTTGTTATAAATTCCTAACAACCAAAGTTACAGCAACTTAATGTCTTCTACATATACAGGGAACACCAGTGAAGCAATAGATTTCAAGCCGTTGCTAGTGAATCTTTCCTCATTAAGTGTTTTTACTATTTATACATTTGTGCCAAGTGAAACCAGTCCTAATATTGGTATGTCATAAGAATTTTAATCTATTTGATCTGTAATGCACACAATCTACCCATATTGAATTGAATATCATTTATTTTCCTAATTCTTTTCAAATTCTTTAATCAGATGTAAGGAAAGGTAGATGTCTACCGGTTGTAATCGTATTTCCATAAAAATGAAGTAAATATAGTAAAATAAAGTGTGCAGTCATTTAATGCTGCTGTAGACTTTATTATGATTTTTTTTTTCTTTTATTAAAAGCTCAGCAGATAGAATTGAGCAACAGTATTATTTTGTTACTGAAATGTATAAACATTTGATATCTGTAAATATTCCTTAAAGCTATACTACTGGTGTGACTATACAAAAAGGGACTGACAGATAATAGTGTGATTCACAAAGCAAAACACTTGAATTTATATAGAGTAGGAATTGCTATTGATAATTTGAATCAGTTGTTGGTATTTAGAAAGTTTGTCTTAAAAAATTGTATAAACTATATAGGACTTTTTCTTAAGCATAAACTGCATATGACGCCAGGTTACTTTAGTTACTTTCTATTGGATTGTAGTTATTGGTAACTGATTCTAATAGAAATGACAATCGAAATCTTTAATAGGTATTTTTAGGTTTGATGTACTGGGTGATGGTTTGTTAGAATGAACAGGTTGCAATTCTGAAAAAGTGGTTGATTTTTAATGTGGACCAAATATTTCAAAGCTATGCTACTGGTGTGACTATACAAAAAGGGACTGACAGATTATAGTATGATTCACAAAGCAAAACACTTGAATTTAAATAGAGTAAAAAATCACAAATGAAAATGAAAATTAAAAAAAACAAAACTTTTTAGTTATGAAAATGTTTTTAAAAAAAGTAATACATCAAAGATTATCTTTACACCCAGTTTAAGTAGGATCAAAGAAAATACTCTCAGATTAGTGCTGATCTTGTTTCCAAACAAACATATTTATCATAAAAAAAAAAAAGTTAACTCCTTTATTTTGATACCTAACTTCATTGCAATGGAACCTCTTTGCCTGACAAATAAAGTTTGGGCAATGTTTAACCTTCATGTCTGCAAAAAATAAAAACAGTGTGTGAAGAGGACGGTTATTCCCTTGACACCACTATTACTGCATACACTTTTGACTACAATGCAATATTTATTATTTAACATTTTATAAATAGCTATGAAAACTATTTTAGTGAATTTATGTAGTGAGCACAAATAAAAGAATTGCCTGGAAAATGCATTTTTTTTCAATATTTATAATTACAGTTATCTGGCATCATGTGTTTATTTAAATTTTCTTGTTCATAGATGCTTTTTATAAATTTATGAATAAAAAAAAAAATTCTTTTTTCATATTTATTTCTTTATAAAATGGTAAATAATAAATATTTCATTATAGTTGGTTAATTTATTTTTATCATCTTGTAAATATAACATTATTCTTGTAAATAAGCAAGCTGATATATAAATAGTGTTTAATATCTTTGTCAATTTTTAAGAAAGAAATGTATAAATCAATTTTCATATGTTTGGGTTTTATTCAAATTCAAATTATTGCTTTTTAAAAAAAACATTGCCAAGGGTTTTTACAGTCATAGCAGTGTCAAGAGAATAACCATGCTTTTGACATGTCATCTTTTTTTTGTTCGAGTTCGAAGGTCAAACATTGCCAAAGTTTGTTTAGTCAACTCCATTTAATAAAAAATAAATATTATAATGTTCATTATGACTTTCTTTCTACAGAAGGTTTATTGTCATCCTTGGATTTGTCTTCCTTCTGTAATTTAAAAGACAAGTGGTAAAGATCAAAGAGTCTATTGAGGCAGACTTCAGCTACTTTAGACAAGTCTGGTTGTAATATATGCAAACCCTTTAATGTTAAAACTATTAGATCATCCATACCATCCCCCATAACATCAGCATGTTCTACAGCCATAACAGGAGCTGAAAAGCTACGGCGCCAGAGCAGCTGATAACCGTCTTTCACTTGCCCTGGAGAAGAAGACTGCATGTTGAGCCGATGGGATATAATTCCTGTTTCAGGTGAGTAGGTATTGACAGTCCAATTGTCTGGCATACTAAGGTCATCCTTATAAACTGTCTTTGAGGATGGTGTCTTGTCGACAGTTGGACTTTTATACATTTTTTTGGTACTCACTGAAAAAGAATAAGCCTTCCGTCTTGAATTCATACAGTCAATGTCATCAAAATTGTCGACTGGGGCACTAGGAGGCTGAGGTTGGAGGGCCTGGAATTTATAAGTCAACAGTTCTTGACCATAAGTTCCCAAGAGAAGTTCATTTTTCCCATCAAAGTCAATATCAACTGCACAGGCACACATGACACAGTCAAATTTGTCGCTGTCAGGAAGCAAAAGCTGGTCAGTGAATTTATTCTCCAGAATGTTCCGGTAAACCACAGATTGTTCTACAGCACTTGCAACCAACAGATGGTAGCTTTCCAAATTAGATTTTTCATCTTTGGTTGCAGATCCCTCCAATCCAAGGTTGTCAAGGCAGGAAGGGGCATTGATTTTGTTTTCCGAGGTAAACAAGAGAACACGGGTGATTGGACCATCGTGAACAATAGAAAATTCATGCAGGATTTCTTTCGTCAGAGGCTCCACAATGAAGACAATAATCTCACCACTTTGATGTCCACGTGCTGTGATTCTTTGCTTGCAATTATTTGTGTAAACAATATTCATCCAAAGAATGTTACTTGTAATGTTCTTGAATTCTGGGAAATATTCCAATATCGGGTCTTCCATAAAGGAATGTTCAAGGTTAACAACCTGAACCTGTAAAAAGCAAAAGGAAAAATTATTTTAAAAAAATCTATTTTTGCTAAATGTCATGTTATCTTGTGGTTTAATTATTGAAAGACATTTGTAGAAATATTTTATCTTAACCGGAATTGTTCAAAGCTGCATTGTAGCACTTGATGAAGGCTGAAACTTTAACAGCAGTAAATATACAAAGAGATTTAAGCCTTCAATTAGTATTGTACTGAAGTATATTCAAAATTTAATAGGACAAAAAAATACTATGGGTGCTTCTAAATGTTTGTTGTGATTTGATGGTAAGTTAGTTAACGAGGCATTTCTTGATAGTTTGAGTTTCTCTAGGTATCCACTATTGTGGTTATAGGCTATTAAATATATTCTAGAGACACTACTGATAGTAATCCAATCATATGAAATTTCCAGACACAAAATATTTGGCATTGACCTTTCTCATTTTATTTACTATTTTTGCTGTCACCAATTTTGATAGATTTTAAAATCAACCAATTACTCAATGATATCCCCATTAATCCCATTCATCATTAATTTCTGTTAGTTCAGCCAATTTTCTACATGTCTAGAAATTTCCTCTTTCTAAAAGTCAAACTTTTATGAATAATTTTATCAACACAAAACCTAAACTGTGTGTGCATGTGTGAGTGAGGAAGTCTTACAGAGCTTTTGAATAGATACTTAATGAAGATTATTGGGTGTTTGTGACAATTGGCAACTTTCTCTTACTATTATTTTAATCAATTGACCCTTCTTTTTTGAGCAGGGTTCTCAGTACATCCTTGAACAATAACAGAGATCTAGCTTGATCCAAGTTTTCAGGCAAAGAATTCTATCTGTATCAAATGAACAAAGAAATTGGATCAATGCAGCATGACCACACAACTTTCTCAAAACAGGTGTGGACAATTCATATCTACCTTTGTAAAAAACATCCAAATATTTGTAAACCTTAGCCAAGTCCATTCCCATTCTTGTGTTAAGTTATCAATCTGACTAGAGGCTAAACACAAGCATCGTTTTTGTACACTTTCCAGTGCACCAATATCCTTTTTGGAGTATGGACTTCAGAAAGGAGCCCTATATTCCAGTACTGACTGTACTATAGATAAATATGTTTTCACCTTTCAGGGGGTAAGCTTATTAAAGCAATGTCTAATGATGTAAACACTTCACAATGTCCATCCTTGGATTATAGATCATTTGAAACTCATTTTTACCTCAACCTCATCTAAAACACCATTTAGAAACTATCTGTATTTCAGCCTGCCAATAATATTCAAAACTATGCATTCCCTAGTGTTAAATTTGAACATCCACTTGTTGCTCCAGGCAGCTAATGAATATAAAGTCTTCCTGCAGTCAAGCATAATTTTGAAGGTTTGTTATTCTGCAATAGTGCTTAATATCATTAGCAAAGTTTAGGCGTAGATTTACAATACCACTGACAAATATTAAGAATAAATGGGTTCAAGTATGGAGACTTGCAAAACTCCACCGATGACATTAACCCATGATAAGATTCTATTCTGGAGTACAACTCTTTGCCTTCTGTTTGAGAGAAATGATTTGATCTAATCCTATATCTTGCCCCTAATTCTAACTTACTTTCACTCTACAGAAAAGACATTTATGAGAAAGTGAATCAAATTCTTCAGCAAAGTCCATCTAAATTATATCTGTTTGTATGGAACTGTCAGAACTGCTAGTTCAATCTGGGCAACAGATTTATCCCCAACAACAATTGTCAAGAATATTATTGATTCTAGTTGGAATCTTCACTGCCTGATTTAACAAATTATCTTATGCCTTTTAATAAATTATTGTGAATGTTTTGATAGTGTAAAGTATCCCAATTGATGTTACAAAAATTGTTTTATTTCCAGAATAATTGACAGAACTATAAAATGAATTCCTCTACCACTTCTGACCTATAGCAACATCCAATTAACTGCAACTTTGGAAGGGACTGAACACTAACCCATATTTTGCCATCAAAATCACCTTTAGTAAGATGTGCACAATTTAAGGATTCTGTGACCAAGATTGTTATGCCTCCTCAAGCAGGATGGACATAAGTTCGATAAAGGTAATCGCTCAAGACTCAGTCTTTCCTGTAGCACACATATGACAATGGGTAGAACTTATCTCATTTAGTACCTTATAAGTTTCAGTAATTTTAACAGTATCTGGATTATTTTGGGAGAGCAAATCTGTTAGGCATGCAATACTTTGTGGGGAGTCCCTGGACATTGAATGTATAAATATTCATTTTCTTTATGAAGAACTGTACTTATGCTGCTTGAAATTTTGATGAATCAATTTTGGTGTCACATTTTAAATTTTTCTTTGATCAGTGAGCAGAATATTCCAGACCTTATCAAATTGGCACAAAGAGAGAGAAACCTCAAGAGTCTTCAGTTCATTGCTCAATTGTATTTTAAATTCTAGATGTTGTCTAATGTCAGACGCAAGTGTAGAACCTAAAATAATATCAGTAATAAAGAGAGGATGAAAAGTATATTAATTAAACTTGACATTTTTGTTGCTATCGAAATGCAGCAATATGAAAAAAAAAAACCCTATAAAATTAGTAGTCTGTTTTTACTACTAAAGTAGGTACCACTAAAATGGATGAAAAAAATGGAAATCACTACCCATTTTTAAATAGTTGCCAAAAATTAGGGAATTATTTGATCGAAATGAAATTTTGAATACTTACTCGTTAATGAAAGTTTTTTTTTTTTTTTTATTAAAAAACTTTGGGAAAATGAAATATTTGGTGGCGGTGGAGGGGGGAGGAAATAGGCTTTACGCCACCCCTTTTTTTGATACATTGTATGTATTTTTTTTAGGGGTGGGCTTTTCCATTGCCTCCACCTCAAGAAAAACCCTGAAGATGTTATTTCAGCAAAAACTTCATGCAATATCAAGAGTGAACACACAGAAAATTCTGCCTGCATCTTACCAAAAAATTCAATAAAACTCAAAAAATAAATTTTGGAAAATTGGCGTTTGCATAATTTAATAAAACATTTTCTTCCAGATTAGAGAGAAAAATATCTACACTTAATATTTATTTTTAAAAAGTCATCTTGCTGCTGTTCATCACAAGAATTTCTTTTGTTAAATAAAGACATATTTAAAGAATCAAAAAATGTAAAGTTTAATACCATTTTTGTGTGTGAACTTTTTAAAAGAATTTTCCTTTTTCCTTTTAGTAATTTTGTTGGATTATTTTTTGGTATAGCTGTACAAAAAGGACATAATTCTGATATTTCACTTTGGCTACTATTCAACATTGGCAGGGTATTATGATATTAATCCAATGCCATATCTCCTGTTCAATCAGTTTTTATGTCTTGAAAGCACTGTATGGTTGTTTCTTTTGTGTCTGTTTTTCTGCATAATCTGTTCCCCTTATCACAAAGAAAATTTTCAGAATTACAACAAAACTATTTCATTCACCTAAAATAATACTTTACTACTGTAATTGTTCTAAAATTTACTTATAGAATAAATATTTTTCTTTTGAAATTCATTAAATCTCATGCAGATTACATTTATGGTATATTTTTGTTTTGGTAGAGCCTTATTCTTATGCCTTTAGTTTAAATTCCTTGAGGAAAATATGGCTGCAAGATATCATTGCAGTTTCTTTATCAAGCCAGTTTTTTTATTTAATTTTCTTATTTAACTGCACAACCCCCAACCTGGATGATCAGGTTTTGAATTCAGAGTTCTCCTCCTACACCAGTTGCCACCTGAAGTTATAGAACCTGGTCTGTCCTGCTAGGGGGAGAAGAGGATTCATACCTTTCCCAAGGGTAAGTGAATTGATTGGAATTTGAACTAGCTCTGATTCCTCAATCAGAGCCACTATCCATTATTCCACTGTGCCTCCTGATAGAGCCTTAATGCCTTCAAATTTATTCATGATACCAAGAGCGTATAGAATAAAAAATATGATGAAAAAAAAATTCATTATATTTAAATAAAAGCATATAGAATAATTATACTTAAACTATTGGTTAAAGAAAATTTATTTTTAAACATAAATAAATTATTGATTATTGTACTGTGGGTCTTTCGTAATTTTTTTAGGTTTTATAATTTTATTTTTACTTTTTTCGCGTGCTTTTTTGGAACGGGGGTAGAAACCTTGACTTCATAGGCTACCGCGTGCAAATAAAACGTTATTTTCATTCTGTTTTAAAATGGTAAGCTAAGCATTACTTTTGAAATCCAGTTAATTAATCCTTAAATTCACTAGACTTTTCAAAATATCTCTAGGACAAATACTGGATTTTAAAGAGAATTTTAAATTTATTGTTTACATTTTTCGTATATAATGGCGGTTCGATGAGTGTGAATGTTTTAAAAATGCCTAATTTTTCTTTTTATTCGGATTAAAAAAGGTCATTATCTTTCAGATAGGACCGAAATTAAAGTTCAAAGAAGGTATTTCAATTTCATTTTTTAGTTGTAAAAGACAAAAGTTTAGCAAAGATGATAGCTAGATTTACAGGCAGACAAACGATGTACAAGGCTATGTTTATCACGCTGCATCTTGTGTTCTAGGTAGGTACTTTAACAGTACACTTAAGAAGGGTAGTAATCTGAAAATACATAAAAAAAAAAAAAAAAAAAAAAAAAACTTTTTTCCCCAGTCTAATTGTTTTTACAATTAAATTTTTGGCGTAAGGATTTTTCGTGTACGTAAAACTTTTAATTAGTTACTTTTAAGTAAAAAGGCTAAAGAAAGAGTTTTAAAATGTTCGAATGGCTGTGTAACTGAGTGTAAGTGTACTTTGTACTTGCAAGCTTTTACTTAGTAAGAGGGAAATCATTTTTTTTAAGATTTATGTTAATTCATATTTGATTTTTCAAATCTTAAATTCCGACAAGCGGATTAGTGTTTTCAAACCAGAAAAAAGATAACTTAGTATGTGATTTAAAGTTTTTCACCATAGAGAGAGAGAGAGAGAGTGAGTGACAAGTGAAATTTATAAAATAAAATAAAAATTTAATAAATCGAACAGTGAAACAGACCTATTCTGGAAATATTACAATTTTTTCATTTTTCCTCATTTTTTTCAACAGTGTTTCTAAATTTCGGCAGAAAATTCACAAAATGTGTTATATAGCTTATTTTTATTTTAAGCCGTTAACTGAATTACCGAAGAATTGCTTGAAAAGAAATTAAACATGAATACATAATAAAATAAATAATTGTTACTTCTCTATAAAGATGAACTTTTTTGTCTCCGCCACTTAGCAAGAAAACAGTCTCTTTTGTATCTTCTGTAATCAACTGGGTGTGAGTGAGTTGATAAGGTATGAATTCTAATTTCATGTACTGGCAGATGGGAGTTACTTGTTCAGAATTTAATTTCACGTCCAGTTCGCGCTCCCACGACGAGTAAATATTTAGGAATTGACAAGTTTCCGTTTTGTTTTCATTTTCTTCTAATTTAAGGAAAGCGATTCCTATTATTAGTTCGTCTCCGTGATGATGTTTTCGAAAAGCGTCAATACTGACCAATTCAGCATCAACAGGTATGTAAGTGAATTGGATTTCTCTTGAAGACGGCCGGAGTTTGTCTGTATTTTTTTGATATTCCACACTCATGACTTTTCCATTCATGCATCCTGTCAAGAGTTTGGTGGTACCATCTGCTTTTGCAAATTTGGCCAAACCATAGACATTGCTTTGCGACGGGAGACAGCTAAAATGGGCATCTATCCACTGACACTTCCCATCCATGATGTGGTGCTGAAAACAAAATTTCAGTAGTAAACCAAAGAAAAGTAATAAAACATGATTATGCCGGAAAATGTTCAATGTTTATATTTAATCGTGCAACTTCACCATAGCCATTTTTATATTTACCGGAAGTGAGAAAAGAGTTGCTTACCCCTGACCGGAACTCTGAATTTCGACCTCTTCCTGTTTTTCTTCATTGTGAGACTCAGGTGCAACTTTTTTTGGTCGTGCTAATCTAAGCTCATCCAACACCTTAGTCTAATTTATTTTAGTTAAAATCTAACAAATTTAAACAAATATGCCACCTAAATTCGATCCCTCTGCAGTTCACGTTGGTAAGTATACAGTTTATTGTAACATTGAAGTTATATTCTCTTTCTCGAGGGACATGAATTTCCATGTGGCCTTCCTGGTGTTTCATTTTTCGTTCCCCCCCCTTTATAAGTTTGACAAAGCCGTTTCCTTTTTCTCCTCAAAATTGATTATTTTACTATATGTATATTTATAACGTGATGTCTATATATCACTAAGAATTATATATTAGTTTGTTTGCTAATTAACAATAGTTAGAAGCTTTTTTAAAAAAAAAAAAATGCTAATTCACGTGTGCCACGTAAAAATCCCGTCTTTTTTTCTAGTTTTAAAATGTATGAGCAATGACATTGTGTAGTCAAAAAGTTTAAATTGGATTGCTAAATAAATCATTTTCATTTTGAATATTCTCTATGTATGCTTTAATGATTAATCCAATGTAAAAAAAAAACGAAGATTTTCTTATTTTTATCAGACAAGTCAGCATCTGTATATGCGATAAAATTAGTTCCAAATTATTGTTAAACACGAGAACTTGCCAATTTATAGGAATAAAATTCTTATTTTATATTTAAATAAACAATTAATTAAACTATTAAAAATAAAATTGAACAATTTGATTGTTTCCTTGTAAAATTCTAATACACGATTAAAAAAAAGTAATTTTTGAGATTATTTTAGGGTTTTTTAGCCTTAAGAAATGTTGCAAATATATGAAATTTGCTTGTCTTTCGAAAAGTTTAAGATTTTATTATTTTCTGAAAAAAAAAAGATCTTATGTTTACTGTGATCCCCTTTTCATTTTATTTTTTTTTTTATTTTCCTTATTGAAAATGTAACTTTTGAAATGTAACTTTGTAAATTCGTTAATTTCTGTTTCTGGGAATTTTATGTTTCATGTGATAAAAAAAAGGAAAAAAGTACCTAAAGTAGTTAAATAAAATTAAAAAGCAGTTTAAACAAAAATATATTTTCGGGTTTGGCTGGAAGTTGTTCAAGTTCAAAGTTTTAATTTTTTTTTTAAAAAACATAAACAATTCAAATAGATTTTTTTTTTGTTGCTAGAATATGAATGCGAGCGTATATTTTAAGTTTTAAAATCTAATAAGTATTCTGAATAGAACACACTGCAGTTCTTTAGGTTTATAATGAAAAATGCATGTTTGTCTCTACAAGTTTTGTATCAGCCAGGCCCTAAATCGTGTATGTCTTAGCTTGATATTGAATAAAGATCTCTCTTTGTAAAGTGAAAGTCCATTAATATAAATACCATTCTGCAATTTAAAAATTAGACAATCTGTGAATTGGAAGCAAAAACGAAAAAAGTTACTTTAAATAAAATAAAGTGACTTTAAATATCTTTGTTTAAAATATGTTAGTAAAATTTTGGTAAAACACCTACAATATTTTCTAGTGATAATTATAAAAATAGTGTTTAAGATGGATTTTGAAGAAAACAAAGTATTGAAACAGAAATTTACTCAAAGATCTTTTATTTTGATTTTAGGATTTTATATTAATCTTAATTGAACAGTTTCACTTTTTTAAAGCATTAAAAATGCTTCTGAATTATAAGCATTTTCTTAAAATGCTTTAAAAATAACTAATGCTTCAATTAAGAATTTAGAAATAATAATGAAAATATTCTCTTTATGATGAGGTATCTTCTGATGTAGTGATTGGGTAATATCTATACAGTTCCAGTTAATTTCTACTTTTTACTCAATGCAGTTTGTATTTTTTTAATCAGTGTATATCAGGGCTGTTGGTGGAGAGGTTCCTGGTACGTCATCATTGGCTCCTAAAATTGGTCCTCTTGGTTTGGTAAGTTGATTTTTTTTTTTCTTCGATTTTTAGTGTTTTTCTTATTGAAAAGATTATATAAAATGCATAGACCATCACTCTCTTCAAAAATTTAATCTTGCACAAATGAATGCAGGGTTCAAGATGTGAATATGAAAATAATCCTGTCTAACAACATAAAAAAACAAGAGAATGTTAATTAACATGTGTTTGGTGTAATACAAAAAAATTTAACTGGAATTTTTACACTTAAATAATTTTTTCAATTTATAAACAAGGTAGTTTTGCTGTAATTGTTCTTCAGAATCTGCCATTGCGAAATAAGCAATTAAAATATAGCTGTTAAGCTTATTCTAATATTTGGGTAGCTGTACTGTCTACCAATAGAAAGACAGAAGTAGAGAGCCAGTGACTGATAAAAGCACACATTATCAGCATTTGACTTGTGCAAAATAGGCACCTCCACTTTTTTGGCAAATTTTCGATACCTAAAGTTTAAAATTAGATTTTAAAAATGAAAAAGCTTTCTTGAAGATTTCATTTTAGCTTTAATTGAAAGCTTAATGATTAAATTTATTATTTCCCTTAAGTAAAATATTCTGGTCTATTTCAGATAGAAATTATATAGATTGTAATATCAAATTTAATTTTGATTTCTTAAAATTTTCTAAAAAGCGTCCATTTTCTTAATTTTAAGAAATTTGCAATCAAAAAGGTTTAAAATTCTTTCAAAAAATACACATATATTTCTGACATGTTATTTGAGTAAAATTAGAATGTTTAAAGTTAAATTAATCTGATTTGAATATTATTTATAGCGTAAAAAAGTAATATACAACCAATTATTAATGATTGGGCCTGTTCTTATGATCCAAGTTTTAATGGACTGCTGATTGACAAAGCAATGGCAGCTACTATGGATGACTATAATTTACATAATTTTCAGAAATCTAAGTGAACACATTTTTTTGCTTTTTAACTACCCAGTAATTTTTACAGATGAACATATTTTCCGCAATTTAATATTTTATTGACTTATTTACCTTTCGAAGATGCAAAAATAAAAAAAAATTAAAATACTATAAATTTTTCTTCAATTAATTTTATAATTTAATAACAAATGAAATGCCATGATTACTCAATTGAAGTATGAACCTCACTAATGTAAATACTTGATAAAAATATTTAGCGAAATAGTAATTGAAAAAAGTTAAACTTAGTTTAAGCTTTAAACTTTTAAAGCTGAATGGAAATTTTGAAAACCAGTTGAAACGTAAGTGAAGTGGCCTAATAAAGGGACAAAACTTTTAGATCATAATAATGGCAATTTCAGTCTACCATACATGAAAATAAGGAACGTAATAATTAAAAAATATAAAATAAAAAATTATTTTAAAAATAGAATAGCTCAACTAATTTTATTGATCTTTTCAATTTTGGATTTGTAAATTTTGTTTCCACTTCATTACTATATCACATCCAGGAAATAGCATAATTTAGAATTTTACACGATTTTAAACTATTATAAATTATTTAAATTAAAAAAAAAAAAAAATTCAAAAATTCTTGTAAAAAATTTATCAGAAAAATTTTATTTTTTCAGACAATAATGTCCTTAATATAACTTATTTACAAAAACAATTAAAAGCTTCTCTAATTAAATAATGTCATAGTTTTATTGGATTCATTATTTTTCAATTTGGGGACAGATTTTCAGTTAGAATAGCTCAAATTTGAAAAAAAGAAAAAAAAAAAAGAAAAAACCGTGATATCTCCAAGAATTCAGGAAATAGAAAGGTTTTGTGTGAAATTTCATGAAATTAAGTGGGGTGTGTAACATATTTAAAAAAAAAAAAAAAAAAAAATTCAGAGATAATTTCATTCATTTGTGAATAAGTCCTGAAAATTTCATTAAAATCTGACAATTATTTGATTTTTACAAAAATTTCCAAATCAATGTGTTTTCAATGGGGAGAAAAAAGTGCAAAAACGGCAATGTTATATAGCCACCGCGATGACATAAAAGATTTTAACCAAAATTTCATACGTGTTAGAAAAGGATTAAAAAATTTCAAGAAATAATTGGAAAAGATACCTTGGTCTTTCATCTTAATAATAAACATTTTGACGATAAGACTATTTTTATTAAGTTTGTTGCCTTTTTCATTACACTATGCTGTTTTCCACGAAAAAGTGTAGATACCTAGCAAAATATGATATGAAGAAATTAGTGGGTGTTGAAAAATTAGCATAAGGAGTGTGAATCACATCAAAATGAATGGCGAGATGTTGTGGGAACAATAGAACCAACCCAGACCAGAATATTGGTTTGATGCAATATGTGACCTTTTTACTCACTAGTAAATCTCAAATCTTATCAGTTCTAATGTACTATGTAAAAGAATGAGGACCTTTAGTACATCTGACAGAGTACAAGACATTACTTGTCATCGAAGTAGGCAAGATTTTGTGGAGGAATATTGGTTGGTTGAAAGATGACAACTTAAGGTACACTGTGCATTCTAGTAAAAATATCAATGGATGGACCATGTTGGTGGAGATAGAGCATTATGCGCTGGTAATGCTCTATGTCCTGTCAGTCATAGTTTGACAGGCTTGGCAAGGTTATAATTTTAGAATTAACTTTAGAAGTATTGAGTCTATGAATTCAAAGTCTGACATTAGTAGTGGAAGGTGCAGTATGTGTACTTTTGGTGATTTTATTCGCTCACTACTACCGGATGTTTTTGGAAAAAAATTTGCTATTTAAGAAAATTTAAGCTGAAAACATCTTTTGAATTTGGGTGTTAAGAATTTAGAGGAAAGAAAATGGCTCCTTTTGATCTGATTGTTTATTTAATAGCATTAGGGAGATAAAAGATGAATATTACATTTTCTTTCATATCACTGTTAAAGTTGTTTATATTCCTGGCTATAGATAAAATAATGTTGGTTGAATGGTGTCAGGATTTCAAGTTCCACTGTTTTTGAAAGGGAAGGTAGAAAAACTATAATGGCAACTATTAGCATTAAAATCGTAACTTGACGAATAAAGAAATAAATAACTGGCGTAATCTTGTCGTTGCAATTGTTTGTGTCAAATTGCACCCCCCGTTGCCTACAAGTAATTCTCCTTGTAGAAGTAACAATAGAAAATAAACTCTTATAAGCAATTTTGGTAACACAACCAGTCAGCTTTGAAAGAGGGAGCATAGTCATAACAAAAGAAGAAAAAATACTACTACCGCCTTTGGCTAGATTTGAGCATTTTATATTTCTCTCTTGGAACATGTATGCAAATTTTGACTCCCCTTCAGTCAGATGGGGTTGATTGGAACTCCTTTCAATAAATTTTCATTATACAGTGGAACCTTTGTTCATGAATTTAATTTGTACCTGAAGGCTTTTCATAAACAAGCTATTTTTCCAATAGGAATCGGTAGAGAATAGTCACAGTACAATAAAAAATAAATAAAAACATGAATGTATACAACAAGGTGGTCGACTTGGAAATTATTCCATTTGTGTTAACTTGGTTTGGCAATGTTGTTGGAGAACTGAAAATTTGTATGATAACCAAGGCATTTTCATCTCAAATTTTCTGCCCCAAAACTTTTTTGTTCGACATGTGAGATGTCCAAGAACCAAGGTTGAACTATATTTTTGTTACAAGATTACAGTTGAATTCCCTCATTTCTCCCTTCTAAGTTTTGCTAAGGTAAGTGCATAGTTTCTACAATAAAGGGGAGGTAAATATATCCAGCTATGCACTCGTGTATACAGAATACAAATATATGCACAAAAATTTGTGTGTGTTATATATATATATATATATATATATATATATATATATATATCACACACCTATAATCAATTATAGGTTGAAATCTGACAGGATAACAAATGGGAAACGTTTTACTCTTGTTAAAGCTTTGTCAGAGTTTGAGAGAGAAAAAAAAACACTGGTATTTTCAATTATGTTTGGGTCACTTCCCATTGGTCAGTCACGTGGTAAAACCATAGATAATCCTATCTGTATGTAGGTTTGTGAAGATTCTTGTATGTATAAGTGGGCATATATTATCATCTGATGCCCATTTAGACATACAGGAATCTAATTAAGACTCATGGGGCCTAGCATATTGCTCCTTTTTTCTAACATGCATACTGTGACGTATTTGAAATATTACATAGTTTGGGTTTCCTTATGTCTTTCAAGAGCGACTTTGTGAAGTGATCATAAAGAATAGTGATTTGTTTTTTGTTTTTTTTTAAAGAAAATAAAAATTGTATGCAAAATAAATGTAGACAAACTATGGAGATCAATTGTGTATGCAAAGAAAGATTATGCCGAATTAAGGTGTCGAATAAAGATGAAATAATTTTATTATTTCTAAATTCCCATATTTTTTTATGTAGCTAGTATGCTGAAGGCTCAGAAGCAGGAACTAGCTTAAAGTCTTAATTACCTTCACTCGGCAATGTTTGTTTTAAAAAGCAATGATTAGAATTGTATATAAACACTTATTGAATTATAAAAATATGTGGGCCAGCTATAAGGAGATCCTTATTACCATTTTATAAAGTTTGGATTGATTCACAATTAGCCAATGTTTTGTCAACCATTTGGATAAACAATAAAATAGTGTTTATTGTTTTTGTTGTGAATTCTTAAGAACAAAGGAAATGTATAAATTTCACTTTCATATGTTGAGGTTTTATTAAAATTCTAATCCTTGCTTTTTAAAACAAACATTGCTGAAGAGTGTAGTTAAAATAATTGTAGTGTCAAGGGAAAAACATTTTTTTGGAGACACCATTTATTTTGCAAGCACAAATTTATCAGAAATTTGATAAAACGAAAAAAAATAATTGATCTGTGAATTGAAGATGAACCTTTTTAAAAATGAGAATTTAATTACAATTACAATTTCTTAAGAAATCAATCTTGCCATTAAATAGCATTCAACTGAGAAAAAAATGGAAAACTTTCAGTAAAGAGAAATTATTTAAAAATAAATAGTTAATTAAATTTTTTTTTTTTAATTCTGCTATTTCAGTCTCCAAAGAAAGTTGGTGATGACATTGCCAAAGGCACCCAAGATTGTAAAGGTCTTAAGATTACTGTAAAGCTGACCATCCAGAATCGTCAGGCTACAGTCTCTGTTGTTCCCAGTGCTGCCTCTCTCATCATTAAAGCCCTCAAAGAACCTGCTCGCGACAGAAAGAAAGTTAAACACAGTAAGTTATCTCCCTTAATTTTCACCACTATGAATAATAGTTTTATTTCCATAGATATGCTTTTCTATAATGTATCTGGCATTCAGGCAGTTTTTACCAGTTTTAAAAGTAATTTGAATTATATTAAGACAAGCATTGTTTCTTTAGTAATTCTAGTTGAGCATTTTCTTTTTATCTACTTGAATTGATGTTTCTTTTGATGCATGGTGAAAGTTGTGACTTTAAGTTACATGATAAACAGCATCATTCTTGTATCGTAGCTGTATAGTTATTCTCATGATTTAGCAATTAGCTTTAACAGGATTCTATTTTTCATGTCTGCCTGTCGTTGCTGTGTCTATACTGTTTTTTTATCTGGAGAATGATTTAAGAATAGAAGATATATAATTCATGTATTGCATTATAAAAAAATTATCACAATTTTATTCACTTATTTATACACATTGATTTTTAAGGACATGTTCATTTGTCCAAGTAATTTTCTTATTTGATATTTTTATATTTTGCTCTGTAGAAATTCAAACATTTCTTGATTTATATAGATTTTCTGATAGATAATTTATATCAAACCTTGAAAAATACTTAAATTTTTTTTTTCCTCGTGAAATTCATATTTATGCAAACAACATTTTTCATTAAGAAATTCTGTACTTAGAAGTTTCAAGGTTTGATTGACCATAACTGTACCTCTTCCTGATTAAAGTGTGGTACTGAGAATTCAAAAACTGGCAGATTTCTTGTTTCAGGCTTAGTCTTGTCACTCTTTAAGGAAACTTACATTTTTATTTTATATTTAACTCTAAAAAAAATTACATTTTCCATAGTGTATAAGGCATAGTGATGAGTAACCAAAATTGAAACATTAATTATAATTTTTATTTTGTTTTAAATATCAATATTTTTGGTAACTAAATTCTCAATTATGATAAAGTAAAGATTTTTATTTTTTTATGTACAGATTAAAATTTGTTAAATTTAAGTAACTTGAAATTTATGAAAATGATTGAAAAAGTTAATAAAAAAAAAAAGGAGTATCATCTGTTATCTTAACTATTAAGTAAGATAGTGAGCATATAATCTATACATGTGGTAGTCATAACATTCTGGGAGAGGAATACCATTCATTGTTTTGAAACTTACATGGAATACTAACTTTATTTGGATTCTATGTTTTGCTTATTTTTATTTTTTTTTAAGTCAAACACAATGGCAACTTGTCTTTTGATGACATTATCAACGTAGCTCGTGCAATGCGGGAACGAAGTATGTCGAAAACATTGGCTGGAACTTGCAAAGAAATTCTTGGTGGGTATAATTTTTCCTGTTTTGTTATATTCATTTTAATTTTAGCACAGGAGAATTGAAACCCTGATAAAAATGACTGAATTCAAAAAGTTTCTACAAAAAAAAAAAGCCTATTCTGACTGTCTAGAAAGAGCAAACCACTTTCTTCTAAAAATTTATTTTTTTATGCAAAATTAATCTTTCGGATTTTCTGAAATTTTTATTGAATATTTGCTAGCTTAACTATGTCCCACATAAAATATTTACCATTAAATAGAAAAGCATTTCATTTGTGAAAACATTCAGGTGTTGTTAAAAGGACATCCCCAAAATTTTAAGAGCAAGTTTCTTGCACTTGTGATGGCTTTTGGTTGGAAAATTGCAGGCATTGCAATGATATATAGATTGTACATTTTTTACTGACTTTTTATATTTCAAAATTATTGAAAGAGTGAAGTTGTCAGAAGCAGATCAAAACTAGAAGAGAACAGGATTTTTTTTTTTTTTATTGCAGAACAGCCCAGACATGACAGTAATTCTCCTTTTTTTTTTTTTTAAACTGATCTGTCTCTTATAAAGATAAGAGTATTGCAGAGGGAGTCAGATAGTTATTGGAGTAGTACAATGAGCCAACTAATTTCTCTAGCATCTTCAGCAGTGTTTGTAATATAAAACAAGAAAAATTGATACAAATGACAAGTGATAAACTAAAACCAAAATGGAATATGTTGTCAAATTTATTAGTGCTACTGTCTAAATATGAAAATAAATAGAAAAACATTTAAAAGTGATACCCTGAATATTATTTGGCCTTATTGAATTTCATTTGATTTCTATTGAGTAGATTTGAATATAAAATAGTGTTTTTCACATCCACAAATCCTATTGATGGAAACAGTTGCGAACATGGTCATGTTTATAGTCTAGACATTTGAGAATTGAGTTGACCAAGAATTGGAGTCGGAAACATTTCATTGTGGATATAAGAATGTGTTAAGAGCTAGACTCAATAGTATGAGAAAATACATGTATGTATGCTTCTATGTGAGATGGTGGAAAATAAATTTGCTTACAGTCTTATCACATTGAGACATCAGTTCCCATATGATCACCGAAGTTAAGGTTAGTCTGGTTAGTACCTAAATGGGTGGCTGCTTGGAATATGTGGTGTGTGGCTGATGTAATGGATAATGGCTTGGAATTAATTGGAGCAGAGTTCCAATTCCATTTGGGTTCATTATATTCATTTATATATAAAAACCCTTGAGGATAGTATGATGCCACCTATTCTCCAGCCACAGGCTATGGATCTATCACTAATTAGTCCCACCAGTCCAAATTCTTTTTGCAATGTAAAAATATTTTCTGGCTTTAACCTGAAAAGGGTTGATAAGCCATAGAAAACTAATTGATCAAATCAAAAATAATTTTTGTCTAAATTCTGCTATGCAAAACCTTATGTAATGTGGTGAGATAGATGCATCCTTCAAGTTGGGTTCATTAATATTCTAACAGATGATAGAATTTATATGGCAAAAATGAGTAAAAGAAAAATAAGATCAGCAAATTAGTCTGAAGAAAACTATACAATGATTTTTTCCCCCAAATGTTGATCTAAAATTAAGAATTTCATGTTTTTAAAAAAAAAAAAAAATTTTAATATTATAATTTTATTTTGGAGATATTGAAAATTTACTTTAGATTTTGCTAAAGGATTGAAACATTTTTGGATTATTTTGTTTCTATTTTTCTTGTAGGAACTGCTCAGTCTGTCGGTTGTACTGTTGATAATCAACATCCACACGATATCATTGACATGATAAACAATGGAGAATATGAAGTTCCAGCAGTAAGTGGCCTATTTTTTATTTTTGTAACAAAAATACTGTAGTTTAAAGTTATTTGGATTTTTCCATCAATTCCTTTTGATACTGGCATTGTAAATGATTTAAAGAAAAAGAAAAACGAATCCATTTCATCATTATTGCAGGTAATTAATAAAAGAAAAAATCTAAATGCCTTCATTTATCTGTCTTCCATTTCTTAAATTCATTAAAATAAAATAAGCATTTTGTGCTGGGTATCTTTTTTCTTGGAGATATTAATGTCTCAATTTTAAAGTATTAATGTGCCAACCTTAGGGGCCTACACACTTACTGGCCAGAATTTGTATCAACCATATTTTTTTATTAAAATTCAATTGTTCTTATTTTTTATTTCAATGTTTTCAGAATCAGATTTATAAAACTAATGCTAGAATTTTTATTGTAAAGTTTGAATCCCTGAGCTCTCCCTATATAATTTTCTTTGTAGTATTTTTAATTTGGCAAATTTTAACATAGTCTGTAGATGCTAAAGCTTATCAAACTGTACTATTTTAGCCAATGGTTTTTTTTTTTTTTTTTTTTTTTTTTTGTCTGGTGATTATATTGACTCAATTTGATCAACTTACTGTTATATCACTTAATTATTCTATTTTTTATGCTGATCAAAATTTCCCTTGTTAACAAGAGTGAATTTTTACGAGTTAAGTTTGTTGAAACTCACGAAATGTGGATTTTCTACATTGAATTAAAATTTGATTAGCATTAATATATAGTTAATATAAAAGATATCAAAAGAAAAGCACTTTGCATTATAAATGAAATCTCAACCATATATTGCAATACTTTTACTATATTTGTATCTGTTTGCACAATTATTAATATAAAGTTTTAAAAACAATAGTTTTTTTTTTTTTCTCTTTGCAGGAATAAACACAAAGGCGGCATTTCTAAATGAATAAAATTTGTTTAGAAGTCATTTTGCTTTCTTTTTTTCTTTTGAAAACGTATGACAATGAAAATTTTTAAAATAAGTGATTCTTGTCACCATTTTCTAATCTGGGGTTGACGTTTTTGAGTTAAGACAGGAAGCATTTAAAGGTTTTACTTTAAAAGTTATTTCAATTGGCTTAAGTTTGTCAGGTAGTAACTTCCATTTTCATAAAAAAATATTCTGTGATATGTACATGTGGCTAAGTGCATGGGATGTTATTCTAAGCATGAGACCCAATTTCAAATTGCATAACTTCTTGATAATATTGGCCGAGGAGGATGATCTGTGTGTGTGGGGGTTTGGTCGGGGCTTTGGCGCTGTGAACAGTTAGGAAGTGCCTGAAAATAATGAGATTATCCAAGCTTTTTGAATGAATTTGGGTAGGGGTAATTGTTTGGAAGCCATTGGTACTTGTGTTGGCATGACGTCATACTGGCCTTGTTTGAACTGTTCATCATGCCAGATATATGTACTTTCTCCCAGAAACTAAAGGTTTGCTCAACAAAGTTGCAGTATAAGCTACGGATTGATTCTTTGGGTGCTAAAGGGGCACAAATGTGCTTGACCAGTTTTTCTTAATGGATTAGGCATCATAGCAGACAGCCACAAATATGCATGTCTGTATATTAATTGAAAATAATATCCTGCTTAAGGGCCAAAATGAGGGGTGGGGAGAACTTGTAATAAAAGAAAATGTCTACTTGAAAAACAAGTTCATGATTAAAAATTCTCATGTGTGGCAAGCATGAGGATAAAATGAAAGTAAAACTGAAATAAAATTGTATACTCTAAGAACTTCCTATTGTACCTATTTTTTTTTATTTTTTTTTCATCAATCATTAAAAGAAATGATGTTCTTATTTTTATCCACTTTTTTAAAAGTATATTAAGATTAAGTTTTGAAGTGGCCATTTTACTAAAATTTGATTTTAAAAACTGGTTTTTGTCAGTTTTTCTGTAAAATGAGGATTGCTTTTGCTGAACTGTGAACACTTGTGGGTGTAACTATACAAGTGAGAGTACAAAAATGAATACAAAGAAAAAGGAAATGTTAGTTTATGCATACCTACAGTCAATGCAATTTTTATATACATGAATATAAAAGCTTGGCTGTGATCAGTTGGTGGTGATAATGAATTCTTATGAAATAACAGCATATGTTCTTCAAGCCAACACGTTTGTCTTTGTGATGTGCTCAGAAAAACCATCAATGTTGATGGTCAGCTGAGTTTTATCCTGGCAAAGAAAAAACAATGATTTAAATGAAGGATGACAGGTGAAGCCTTTATAGCTAATTCACTTACATTTGACAATTTGTGGATAACTGAGACTAATCTCTTTAGCTCAAACAAAAGTGATTATAGTTTGCTGGCCACTGCCACCAAGCAATCAGGGAAATCGTCTTGTCCTTACTCTTATGGCATCCTTCCGGAAGTGTCTTATGAAAATTGACTTCCCCAGACACCATAGCTCAGAACTCTGTGTCTCCACAGCCATCAACATCAATATAATGACATCAACCAGTGATTTCTTCAATTCTCATTTGGTGGAGCAAATGTCATTGATAGAGTATTAGTAGAGCAAGATTGGCCTGTACATCAATGCTTCTGAGACAGTATATAGACCATGAGCAGAGTACAAGTGATGCCTTATGTTCTCTAAATGGAACAAACCGAATCTATCAAGTATTTGATGGAGTATTAGTAGAGCAAGATTGGCCTGTACATCAATGCTTCTGAGACAGTATATAGACCATGAGCAGAGTACAAGTGATGCCTTATGTTCTCTAAATGGAACAAACCGAATCTATCAAGTATTTTAAATATTCGAGGAGTAATGTTGCAAACTCTAAAAAGGACATGTTCATGAAAACAGGCAAGACCTCAGATGACCATAACTTCACAGTATGTGGAAATTGTACCCATTACCCCTGAGGATTAAAGTTGACCTCTTTGTGCTGCTACTGAATCAATTCTTGTCTGTCACAATCACTTGAGCTGTGATATCATAAATAGAGAAAACACTAAATGGTGCTTATACTTGAATGCTCTTGACTGTACTTAACATCTCATTGCATTAACAACTATCAAATGAAGCTCATATGGTAAAATCTGAAACTATATAGAAGCATAGATTAAGATTTGTAGAACACTGTTGACGCCATGACAAAGAACTTGTTGCTGATATACTGCTGTAGCAACCAGCTTATTTAGTATAGGTCGATCAACGAAAGCCTTCATCAAACTATTAAAGTATAGTGTACGACATTGAAGGATTGTAGGGATTACGTTAAAGCCGTGTTTAAACTTTTTTTTTTTTTTATTCATGACTTTCATCACAAGATTTATTGTAACCCCAGGTATTAACCAACTACATTGAAAATTCATCCATTGTTACAGTACTAGTCACAACGGCGCCGCACGCGCGTTTTATTACCGCAACGTTTGTATGGCGCATCACGTTAAATATTGTGCGTTTGAGAAATAACATAATGAGATTCAAGTATTTTGTATTTGGGATCGCGACCCATAGTTTAAGAAGCGCTGCGTTAAAGAATGCCGCGTAAACTTGATGTATTTCTCTGTGCATTAGAGTTGTCTCCCTTGCACTAGTGATCAAGTAAGACTTAAAGGAATTGCCTCCCTTTTTAGCTAATGAAGTTAAAATTGCGTCAAGAGATTTTGAAGATGCAAATTTTTTTTATGAATCTTTTCAATAATTAGCTTTATTCAGTTTCTAAAAATATTTTGAACTAGGTTTTATAACTTTTCATAATATCTTGTGGAGAAGATCTGAAGACATAATAGATTTAAAAAAAATTATTAGTAATTTCAGGTGAGTTTCTTTTCATCTTTTTATAAGAGCAATTGGATCATTTTTAGATATTTTTTTCTTAAATTTGTGCAGGAGGTAGAAACGAGGCTATATGAAAAGGAATTAAAAAAATTGCTGTTATCAAATTTATCTAATTAATATTCAACCTCCAGTATTTGCACTTCTTACCTCCACCTGCATAATATCTGAATCAAAATAATTTTCATTAATTTTTCCTTATTTACTATATTTTTTGACTTGTCTGAACATTGCTAGCCCATTATTTTATGTAATATATACAGACATATATGCTTCAACACAATGGATCATTTGATTAGCAAGGTTGAATTTACTGCCTTTAAACTTCAATCTTCCATGAATCTCTCGCGTACATTCATATCTGCTCAAAGCATATCCAAATGTAAACCTTGCCAATCGAACGATCCTCTGGTGCACATCAGGCTAAATGACGGTTCTGTATAGGACACAGGTTTGATTCGTGTTGGAGGACAAATATTTTCTATGAAAATTTCTTGGACATTCAGGTGGGTAAGTGTTATAAATACTGTTTATTATAAAACAGAGCATTTAATTAAATATTTGTATGTATAACTACAGAATTTATGCTTATCCCTGTATTTACTAAATTTAGCAAAGTCTGGCTACAAGAGTGGTGGGGAACACTAAGTGGATCATGCTCACAGAATTGGTTTGTTTATTGTTTGCTTATTAAATTGCTTGTATCTGTTCATTTTTTGTTGATTACTAAATTGCTTATGGTTATGGGTCAGAAATTGAGCATCAAAATACATAATTGAGTACATAAATGACTAAAGTTTTTAAAAGAAAAGTACTGAAAAGTGTACCTTTGAATATGAACTTGTCTTTTTATGTAAACAGAGTAGAAACCTGATAAACTGTATGATCTTTTTAAATAGCTTTCTTTTCACAAGAAAATTTATGCTTAGGTGGCTAATAAAAGGTGTGAGGGAGTGCATTTATATTTTTTATTTTTAAGAAACTTTGTTTCACTCCATGCTTATGATTATTCATTTTGCAGTTTTTGATTATTCAGTTTTGACCCTTTAAATAACTTTTCCAGCCCTACCTCTTATTAAGGGCCACTGTTTATTGCATATTGAAAAAAAAATTATGCCCCCCCCCCCAAATTTGTATTAGGCATCTCTATGTAGACATGTTAGCAAATAAAGAGACATTAGGTAGTCAGTTTCTCTTTGTGGCTATGTCTGAGCAGTAATTACAGAAAAACTGCTCAAGTCTAATTTCTGTGTGCTGGACATCAGCATTTCCCTGTTTTGAAATCAAACCCTGGTTCAGTCTTTTCTGAATTTAATACAATCACTACATTTATTAAAAATATCTTCGGTTTTACATGTGAATTATTTTTTTAAATCAAATTCCAAGTATGACAGTAAGACATTAGTGGGGTGGTCATCTAGCTAATGTCTTATGTGGGACATGTATAACATCCAAGATCTTAAAAATGAAAGGGTAAATTTAGAATTCTGTAATAAACTTGTTGAAATTTGATATCAATAAATCTTGAAATGCATCCTGCCAAAAAAAAGTGGGGTTTATTAATGCATAATGGAAACAAAATGGTAGCTTTTTAAGACTCTTACACTTGCAGAGATATCTTAATTGTATCCATTATGGTAAAAGTATTAACAAGTATTATATTACCTCGACTTTCATCATTTTATGAAAGTCAATACCCCATGACCCATTTTGGTAAGGGATATAATTATAGCATGTAAAACAAATAACTGCAAAAATTGCTTACCTTTCAAGAAATTGTATACCTGAATGTATTGACCTAATAAAGGAACTGTATAAATCCACAAAATCTTACATGTCTGTTGAGGACTCCAATACGAAAACATTTCAAATCTCATCAGGAGTATGACAGGGAAGAAATGAGAGCCCTAGTCTATTTAATCTTTTCTTAGACTGTCCTGTGCATTTACAAATAGATATAAAGAGATGGGCACTGATCATTTAAGCATTACATATTACTCGGTTATTATAAATTTAGTTTAAGAGAAAAGGAAATAGGACATAGAATAGGCTGTGTTAGAGGTAGTTTCACACAGCACCACAAGTT